AGGCACTTAAACTGCCTCAAAAACCCAATCCCAAGAGCAAGGTTCTACTTTTCAGAACACCTGCAAAAATGCCAGGAACGCCAAGCTTTGCTCTAATGCTGTTTCTTTACTGTAGGCGTGACTGGTTCAGCGGTCTTCGATTTGGTCTTTGACCGCATATGGTTCAGCATGGGCCTGGGAAGACAGTGAAGAAACCCAAATAGAAAGAACTGGCTGAGTGTGTCTTTTTCCCTTTTCCTGTGGGTGCATCACTGATGGAACAAACTGATGTCACAGCTCATCAATAGGGCTTGGGCTGCGCACGGCTCATCAATCCCAATGCATCTGAAGCCCTTAGGTGGTCCGCGGTAGGGTGACGGAGTGGAAGTTTTCCGTTTCAATGACAGTCATCAAGTTTAAGATCAAACAACATGCTTGTGTTGGAGAGTTTTTAGCTAAATCGACAGAAGGCCATACGCTGATGTGACCTTACTTTACTCTTTGTCAATTTTGATAAAAGTTCATTTCCCAGTACTATAGGCTAGGCTGAAGCAAAAGAAATAAACTATACATACAGGCCATGGCACTTTTGCTTGGCAGTTCCAAATTCCTTCTTCAACGATGTTTGCTGCCTCAATCCGCTAAGCGTAGGGAATGCATGAATGCAACAACCCACCAATGGCATTCAAGTTATGTGCAAACAAAATACGCTTTAGTAAAACCAGAGAGAACACCCTCGGAATTCAAGGTGGCAATAGACTCCTGAACCGAATCCAACTCCTTGGCGCAGGATTGCGCCTTCTTCACCAACCTCGGTCGGAAGGCAAGCCGGGCATGGGATGCCATAGAGTGACCCTTGAAGATGGAGCATTTTGCATTCATGTCTAGTGGTGCCCAAGTACGGTACATGTACTATATGAAGCAATCACATCTTCCAAGTTCCGCTAAGCTACTGGTCAGAGATGTCAAGACTTGCGCAATGGGTTCGCAACTGTTCAGCTAGGTCATACATCTTGGCAGACCACTTACCCAAACAAGTTAAGACTTTGATGCAGTAGGTAGAAGGAAGCGCGTCATCATCCATGTCAGGGAAGGTGATCTTCTTGAGCATTTTGCAAGCAGCGTCTTTTGCATCCACTGCGGCATTCTCCGTTTTCTGTTCTGCACAGAGATCTCAATAGTACATAAAACAAACCAGACTCAACAAGACGATTTACAATGCTGTTGAACCAAACTTATTTATGATAACTATGACGACACCACATGCCTTCAGACACATTGACCTCAGCCAAATGAAAGTCGCCCGCCCACTTCAACAAGCGCATCAAAGTCTATTGATTCCACATCGGAATCCTCTTCCTCCAAGACTTCTCGCTTCCGCTTCCAGACTGAGAGGAAGCGTTGACTTTCCCTGGGAATTACAGAAAACACATGTTGCATAATACCCTGCTGACAGTAGACTTGTTTGAGGCTCCCCTTGGTGGAAAAGGAAGCGTGCGTGAACGAATACCATCTCACAAGGTGCAACCTCTAGCCACACATGGACTACCTCTAGTGCAACCTCTAGTTCTCAGGAGTCTTTCCAGCTCTGATAGTTTCAGTGATTGCACAAAAGACTATACCTGTGTCACCGTGTGGCATCCATCTTGGGCCCCTTTGTGATCACAAGAATGATATACATGTGTGTGGGCTTGGTTTTGGAAGGCTTTATACCACTAAACCACAAACCCGTACTTTTCCGATGCAAGGTCGGCTTATATTGGAGACAGGGTTCAAGAGACGGCCGCTCATGTTCTTCTCCATCCAATAGAGCAACACGTTCTTCTCATACCTGTCTCGCCTGGCAGTCCGAACGACGGTTTTGGTCCTGAAGTTCTTCAGTTTTGCGATGGACATTGCAGCCAAGAGGCCGGATCCATCCCTCGTGATTTGCTGCTTCGGCCTTGATGGCCTTGATCCGCTTCCTGGGCCAAGCTGCCAGCAAAATTGCACAGGTTGTCCCCTATTTAATATTTGTTTGATGCAGTACATGCGACATCTTCCACGCACACACACACATGATCACGCGCACCTATTTATCGAGAAAAAACAAGTCAAGCTTCTCTGGAATTCCATCGGCTTTCATATCTTCTTCTGAAACAAAGTCACCATCAACCCACAAGTCTTGTTCCGTGATACGTTGTTTAATTCTCTTCATTGCATTCTTGATGAACATATCCTGCAAAGACCAGGTTGAAGAGTGGGATGAAGTAGGCAAAGAGGGCTCCAATGTTGGAATGGTTTGGAAAAACACAGAGTCCAGTGTTTTGCAAAAGCCTGAGACAGATCAATTTGACACCACAACTGTTCGGGCATAAGCTAAAGTTAATTTTCACACATGTTGTAGTCCTTGTTGTAGGCAGCCTTCTTGAACTCTTCCAACAGCTTCGCTTGATCACCGTTCTGCCACTGTTCTGCAAGCTCTTTGGGAACAAGACTTTTCCCGTTAGATCTGGGTTTGACCAACCGTTCAATTCGCTTTTTCAAAGCGCTATCAGAAACATGGCCAGTCAACACACTAGCAAAATCATCCCAGCTTGCAGGGTGGTGCCCAGGTCCAGCTCCTGCAACTGTAGGAGGTGGGGTGGGCGTCATCAATGTCCGCTCCGAAAACGACACACGCCGACGGATATCCGGGGCGGCACGGCCAGCTGCTCCAGGTAGGCTCAGGGCCTAAGAGTCCAGCGGAAAAAGGTTCTGTTGTAAGAGCGGTGAGATCGAGAGCATTTAGCATCATGGCTTCAACACACAGTGTCACCATTCAACATACCATATGCGATGTATCAATGATATCATATATGCATGATAATATCGATCTAGTATTGTGTAGCGTCCTATATGTATCCTTTCATATAGTGAACCTAGAGTATGATAACTGAGAAACATTGGTTCCGGTCCCAAACCTTTGGATTGCAACAGTTCAAGCAAGCGCAGTGGTTGTCAACAATCGAAGCAACTTGACCTAGTTTTTTCCGATTGAACTATTTGGCCACACTGTGCCCCATATTACTTGTATGGCCAGTTGTTCTCCGTTGTCCTCTTCCCAATTCCCGGCCCGCAACCAAGAAACCTGACCAACAGCCATGTCTGGTTGAGTATCGGAGTCATGTTGAGTTTCCGCATATTCATCCGCGGCCCTCGGAGCATCCTCCGCAACAGCACATCGGGCAGCAGAAAGCTGTTGCTGCACATCCTGCGAGTACCAGCCAGGTGATGAACTGGACACTAAAGCAACATGTCAAAAGGATATTACAACAAGTTTGTGTTGGAGGACGTCCTCCGAGAGAGATTGAGAAAGAACAAAGTGTGGTTTAGGCGCGCATGCGGGTACAAATAACATCAACCCTAACACGCAAGCTCTCCTCCAAACTAGCAAGGTGAGCCTCCAGCTCAGCCACGCTCCAATCCATGAGGTTTTGGGATCGGACCACATCTTCACCGTCCATCAGCGTCGATGAGCTAAAGGCGCGAGATGGAAGCGAAACACACGACATTTTGGACCTGGAAACGATCTCCCGGGAAAATCTGCCGCCTTCCCAAGTTTTTCCGCCGCTTTCCCGGGAATTTCCGCCGCCGCCAAAAACACAAACTCATGAACCTCATGACTTTCATGAGTCAACACATGTTCTTCATGAAACTCATAACTTTCATGAGTCACACATGTATTTCATGAGCACATGAGCTCATGCATTTGTTGAGCTCAAGAACCGATTCAACTCAGAGTAACTCATGTATTGCATGAGGTGTCGTTCAACCTTTTGGCTCCATGAGCGCATACCCCATTCAAGTCTAGGGTTCATTACCCCAGTGGAAGGTGAGTTGGTAAGGCATCCTTCCAGGATGAAGAAGGGATACGAAGGCGTTTGCTTCCCCTAGCGTAAATGATCACATCATTCAAGTCGCAGCAATCGTCCCATAAGTCCACATAGGACGCCTGCTGGAAGAGCTCTAGTACAGTGCGGTCTTCTGAAACCTCAGGGAGTCAGTTCAAAGCATTGCTTTTTGGTTTGGGGAAAGTAGGTAAGATGATACATTGAAGACAACAGATAATCCAAAGCACGGAAGGCAAGGCTTGGTATGGTTTGTCTGCAATCATTTGTGGCATCAGCTTCACCATATTTGTTGCAAATCTGTACGTGTAGCGCCTCAATACCATGCAGTCCCACTTGGGAGTCAGGGGCCCCAACATGAAAGGGTTCGAACAGCTCTTTAGAACGCAAACTCAAATAAATAAGTGCATGACTGTGTCCCCTTCAAGTGGTCATTCCCCTGCCATCGTTTACGCCCATCACGATCAACCCGAATCGTTGTAGTTGAAACACAACCCTCGCGTTCTGCAGGAGTGAGTGGGCCCAAATCAAGCTCTTGGAGGCGGGGTGTGGTCCCCCACATCCATGTGCGCTTCCAAGTCATACCACCATGCTTGCGCATCCAGAAGCTCACCCGGTAGGTCTTGGTTGGCACGCATGCATGGGTATACTAGCCTTATAGGAAAACACGCAAATTTGTCTTTCACAGGCTGAGCTACAAAGATGTTGTGTGTTGCCAGAAGACGCACAAACCAATTTACCTGTCATGTAGTGCAATGAGGGAGTTGCTTGGGTTCTCCAGGAGGATGGTCCCACCAGCTGCAATGGTAAGAACCATGAGGATGATTGACCTGACATGTCACCACACCGCGTGATGCTACTAAAGTATATGCAAATGTGTGTCTTACACACCCAAACATGACTTGCAGCCCAAACACCGTGATACCAGCTTGTTACTTTTTCGCACTGAAGCCACCTGTTCGTTCCCCAGCGGCACCAAAATATCTCGCCAACCTGTTCCCCTGTTGACAGGCACCCACGATGAACAACAAGTAGCAAATCTGGGGTGCTGTTTAGATAGTCCAAAAGGACTTGGGATTTTTTTGGAAAATTATAATCTTAGATTAGTTAAACCAAACCCTTAAGCCCCCCCCATCCCTAAACCGCTCGCGCTCGCTCGCTGCTGTGGCATTGGCGGCGGTGGAGCAAATGCCAGGGACCTTAGCTGGAATGGAAGGTTGGGAGATGCGTGAGGGATGCATGATGGATGATCAGTGAAGGAAGAGAGAGAGAGAGAGATCTCCAGAGAGAGAGAGGGGCAAAGACACAAAGAGAGAAAGAGAGAGAGAGAGAGAGAGAAAATGAGAAGAACCCTTCCACCAAATGGGCGATCATCAGCCTTTTTTATACCCCATTCGTCCAGCTGGCATCAGAGTTCATGGCACTGGGTCCATGGCTTCGCTGGACCAGCCCATAGACTTGTTCATTTGATAAATTATGCGAGCAGCCAGTGGCAATGGCCAAGAGTTGCCAAGAGCCAAACCGAATTGTGAGGCTGATAGCCCTGCCAGGTCCAAAGTTGAAGTGTTCCATCCCTGAATGTTGGCCTTTTCCTGGCACTCAAACCACACCAAATTATATCAAGTCTTTTTTCTGATGATGGGAGTTTTGTGAAATACCAGCAAACAGTGAATCCCACCGCTCCTTCAGATTCATGTACCGCCGGTGGCTGGTAATCCAAAAGCTGTCGGATCCTCCTCGTGCTCGGGTGAGGCATGGCGACCTCAAGCTGAAAAACTATTGTAAATTAGTTTCTTAGTCATGATGACTGAGGAATTGTAACTGTCGCAATAGCACCCCGGCGAATAAATAACATGTCCGTCCAAGTCACACATCCAAGCTCGGCTTGCCTTGAAACTGTGCTGATGCTGCGCAATCGACCACCCTTAGGCAGGCTGGTGGCGGCTGCGTCGGCTGGCGGATGGCTGGTGCGCTAGACACATTGAGGAGGCGTGCGTGGGGGATGGGGCCACTTGCAACCTAGTTTCCAGCAATCATCAGTATCGCCACCATCCTTGGCAATGCGTTTGAGTCCCTGCTTCAATCGCTTGCGGCCGCTCTCCGACTTCGGGAACTCATAGGCTTGACTTTTCCTGCAAGCTGCAATTGGGGATGTTTTATCCACCAAGCTGACTTGATGCACCTTTTTGTTCAGTGATCATTGAGATTATTGAACCCTGCCTCCCCAAGAACTTGGAAAGTTTGACCTTCCTCGTTGAGCGCACTGGACTGGGAAATTCAAACTCTCCTTAGTAAGGAATGATCAATGTCGATCGAAGAAAAGAATGCAAGGGGCCAGGTACCGATTCTGACAGGACTAGTTTTCTTTGTTTCGTCCAGCTTTTCTTCTAGGTACTGTGCATCAAGCTCTTGCGCAGCCCAACCATCCACAACCGCTCGCGTCTTTGCGGCAACCCAGCGAAAGATTTGACGTCCAGGACCTGAATTAGTTCCCACAAACCTCTTGTTGAAGCAGCTTATTGCAATTTAAAAAGCAGTTCTGCATGAACCTATGATTCAAGTCGCCATAGATAAATTATCCCCCAAGTTTGATCAACTAAAAATGCTTCCAGCTTGCTTTGTGGTACACTTTGTATTCGCCATTCATTGCCAACCTTAGTGAGCATTGGCCATATGCAATCACACCCCGCCTCACCCTACTTCTCAAATCATCAAACGATGAATCAAACCACTATTCAAGCAGTGGGCCGAGATAGCAAGAGTTTGAAGAACTTCATGTTCCTCTTGGAGCTCAATCCCTTAACATTTTCCAAAAGGAAGGAGTCAGGGCGTAGGCGCCTGATCCTTTGCACAACCTTAATCCCAATCTCAAGTTTTTCTGTTACCCCAAAACCTCAGGCCTGTTTTGTTGGAGACTGGTTGAATCACAGTACTAATTGAAAATTGCTGCAATCAAGAATCGGCCTGAGCCACCCTGGCCCTTCGGTCGGCGGAGCCTTTATGTTTTCCTATGGATGAATAAGGCTGGCATGGGAATCCACTCCCAAATATATTCACGTTCTTGAACTTCTTCGAGCCTGAGATGGGAAGGGAAAAGAGGAGCTGGGGTATCCCAAGTCTTGTCAACATTGACATGTTCCTAAACAGATGATAAGGTGTCAGCCTGTCTGACAAACAATAATAGATGATATATCGAACAGGGCACGCTCAATCTTCATGATCTTGAGGCAATCGCTGGAGAGGACCGGAGGATCGTGGACCTGCTTCAGCCGGGCCCTCAAAGCGCTATCAGCCTCGCTCATGTAGAACGAGACAGCCTTCAGTCCCGCAAGCCTTAGATTCTTTGGGATTGGTGGTTTACCCTGACTGGCATGAACTGTTTGCGCTGGCCACAACCATGAACAAGCCACTCCTATCATCCAAGAAACCTGCAGCATATCTGCAGTGGAGCCAGGCCAGCACAGTCTTCGGCTAGTATGAGCGGTTTCATACCACCGACCCTGCCCCCAAAAAGCCTTTGAGCAAAAAAACAATGACCACAATTGCTTCTCATCTGGTCACCAATTTTGTGTTGAAACACGTTGAAGATTACATGGGCTTAATTAGCACAGTTTTGCGCTGCACGCGGCCTAAAGCTCCGATTCAGAGGTTTGAATCTAAGGGTATAGGCTTCTATGTGCCACCGGTTTGAAACAATTGATTTTGCTAAGTCACAGGTGCTCACACCTGATCGTTCCCCAGCTTCCCCCCCTCAACATGAAGTCAATGACAAATATTTAGGTATGATCATCCAAGAACACCTTAGGTATGATCATCCAAGAACACTTTGGAGGGAAGCATCCAAAACCTGGCCACCGGGAGTCTTCAGAAACGATCACTGAAGTTCACATCAGCTGGTTCAGCTTCTTCAGGACACTCTGCGCCTTATTGCTTCCAGCCTGGACTGGCAGAGCTTGAGATTTGCGCTTCGCAGGCTGGGACTGAACGTGTTTCAAGAACCCTCAACCAGCCTTTGGGCGTCCTTTGGGCTTTGCTTTTGCTTTAGTCTTTGCTGTTGGTTTCGCTTTGGGTTTTTCTGGTTTATCACTGGCAGGACGTTTCCTACCTTTCTTTGGTTCTTCCTCCTCCTCGTCCTCCTCCTCCTCCAGTTCCTCCCCTTCGCCGCCATCACTCTCTCCTTCCTCCTCCTCATCCTCCTCCTGCTCCAGATCTTCATCCTCCTCCGGCTCCTCCCCAGCATCCCCTTCCTCCTCCTCATCCTCTTCTTCCTCCTTTTTCGTCTTATCCTTTTTCTCCTGAAAGGTTGGTCTGTTATATGGTCTAAAATGGCCCATGTTGATATAGTAGACTTGAATGAGATGCAGTTACAGAAAAAGAGTTGGTGGTCCTTTTTGTTGTTGACCTTTTTCTTTTTGATCAAGCCAGCCAAGCCCGGCTCAAACAATGGAGACTCCGGGTTCAGCATTCCGTCCCAGCACTTGCGCTCCAACCGTTTCATGAGCTCCGTAGCCTAAGCCATCATGAGCTGGGGATGGCTCAAGCATGATTGGACTTAAATATTAGTAGAGGCATAATTTTTTTTGGTCAAACCAAGGAACATGATCGCTTGTGAAGACAACACCTATGAATGGCACTCGGCGTAAGATAGCTTCCCACGCTGTCTTGCCATCACCTTACTAGTCAAACTCATCATTCCATCCATCATTGTAATAGCTGTTGGAGGGTTGCTGAAGCAAGTGTCATAGGAAGTATGGCAGAGTTTCCGCCGAGATGCAGCAAGTCAAGTCAAGCATATGTGAGATATTGTACTCGTGGTACAGCTCGCTGACCTGGGGCTACCCTAGTGTTGTTAACCTCTGATTCTGGTGACAGTTCAGTTTTTAACCTCCCAAGTTCAAGCCAAAGCACCACTTCGCTTGGCATGGCATGATAGGCCATCGGCTCCTGGTCGGTGTCTTTGCGCCTGGCTCCTGAGCAAATGGGAGTATCGGGTTTGGCAAAGGGTGGGAAGGAGAGTTGGTTTGACCAAATGAACATGTATCAAACAATGACGACCGGGACTGGGCACCTTTCGCGTTCTCAGCCGGCTCCCCATCCGGCTTGCCCCCCACAGCAACCCTGTTCGCCGCACCATACATGACCTTCTTGAGGGCATAGGTGGCATTCCATGTCTCATCCATGTCCTTGAAAGTCAAAGGATGGAACTTGGCTTGAATAATACCCCCGTTATAAGTTAAATCATGTCATGACTGACAAGTCTCGTCCCAGGCTGGTGCTATGATAGGCCCTAGGCAATCACCTGCGGATGTCCCAGAGTAATGCTTTCGCTTTTTGTAGGTGACCTGCATGTCCTCCGGCAAGATTAGATAGACACGCTCCAATTGATTCACCTGCGATCCTCGATTTCTGTGTTTCTTGGATCGGATCGCTCCCTCGTCCCAAATGAGGAACTTGCAAGTCTTGTGTTTGCTCATGGTCTCTGTCGGTGAGGGCTTTACAGCCCCAAGAAGAGATGGTCCCAAACCTCAGCCACTTGACGCACCGGTTCTGATTGAGGTTTCACCCACACAGTGAACAATGGTGGCATCGCATGTGCAACATCGATTCAACTCGACGATTAAATAAGTCGAAACACCGTCCCTTCCCCCATCCAAAAGCAGAATGCCATCTCCGGATCCTATTGTGCCCTTATCCTTGTCCATCCGCAAGGAAATGGCCGAGTGGAGGAGCTTGACGCGCCGTCCCTCTCTGAGTGGTGGAAGGCGGATTGACGGTTGCGTGGCAGCTTCGCCACAAACCTTCGAGTCCTGGGCCGGGGCAAAGGTACTTCCAATATGCCATATGTACTTCTTTACCGTCCCTGTGCGAAGTCTGTTCAGACTATTGCACCCAAGATTCAAAGTAGATGCAAACCATGCTGACCACCTGGTTCCTTGGTTTTTGTTTATCAACTCATTGCATTCAAACCATCATGACCACCTGGATTTTCAATGAACCATGAAGTTCATGTAGACTGCATTCACGTAGACTGCAAAAATGGTCAGTAGTGAGAGCACTGTGTTCGAGATTCGTCGATGGGTCCACCTCACCTCGCCACTTTGGGAAGGCTGTCGCAGTCAAGGCTTTGGTCATGTTGGCGGTGTTGTCCTGATATGGATCATTGCAGATTCCATTCATGACATCGGACAAAGTCATGATTGACACAATGCATCAAAACACTCCCCTGTCCAATCCTCTTCCACCACCAATTTCACATGAGTGCGGACCATCGAGCACGCCTTTTGCTTGTACCTTATTACGAAGACTAGGTTTTGCGATTCGATGGATTCACAGTTGCAAACAATGTTGGAGTGGCAATAAGTATAACCCCTTCTGTCTAGGTATCAAACACTTCAATCTTTCTCAATGCTTCCTCATCAAGTGAAACATCCTCCTTCTGTTCACCCCCTTCCTCATCGGCCTTTGCTTTGGCTTTTGGTCGGGCTGGAAGAGGAACCTTTCAACAAATAGTAGTCGGTGTTTTCCATATCTAAGCTTAGTCTGACACGGCCTACACCTACCTGGCCTTCAGGTGGCTCATGCCTGTTTCGTCCTCCTCTGCAGCCTTGTCCTCGGCACCTGGGATCATGGCCACGTCATCCTCGTCAGCCGCATCGCCAGCCTCCTCCTATCGGGGGGCGCCGGTGAGTTGGTGTCTACTTGGGGTTGGAATTGGTTATTGACCTTTATACCGGTGTGCCAGCCTAAGTTTTTTTGTTGTTGGATACTTTAAACTTTAAACATTGTTAAAACAAATAACAGGTTACTTGACAGGTTTGGTTTTACGTGAACAAAGTTGGAAAAAAGATGCAGGCGCAGCACGGCAAGACAGAGATGGCAGCTCTTTGGTGAAACATGGTTTACAATAAAGCAAATGCAACAATTAACAGAAAGCGGCCCTTTGGGGTAGAACGGATGCGTCAGCTTCCAGCTCTTCTTTTCAAACCGTCTAACCAAGAGCACGTCTCTACAACACATGCAAGGATGACAAGAAAGGCTACAGGAAATATTTGACAATAACAATAAAGTCGTGACTGGTGCCCAGTGCCCACCAAAAATTGTCCCCAGTGCGTGATCTATCAAGTATACTCTGTTTCCAAGGTCAAGCAAATCCACAAACTCAGGGGTGACAGAAGTTAATTCGATCAACTTTCCATGCACCTTTGAACAGGAACAAACCTAATTGGTCAACTGGACCCGTCAAACTTTTAGATTCAGCTTCGAGCTCGAGTTGAACTGAAGAACATGAGTGATGATTTTTGGTGAAATTAAACTCTGCTTTCCTGACTGATCATGTCTAGAATAGCCCAGCTGGCAAGGCGCACCGGTGCTGGCTGCGCAGGCCGCGTACACCCTTGTTCCAGCCAGTCGCATGTCAACAGGTCATGGGATTCTGCCTAGCTATCTGGGTCTATGCTGGTGTAATTTTGTACAGTGTGCCTTTTTCTTTTTGAATAGGAGACTCTCCAAGCCCAGTGAGCATGTGGGAAGCACCTACTTGGATCTCCTAGCCGTTTGCTTTTTGGGGGGTTTTCGTCAAGATCTAGGCAAGACATGGGAACTTTGTGGCCACTAGAAAAGTGCATTTGGCTTGGGCACCCCCTGGAATAGTCAACCCCTACATGACACCCATAGCCCCTTAACTCCACTCACTCTTAGTAGGGTGTTTTGGTTCGCGTTGGCATTCAAGGTCAACCAATCTCAATGACTAGTCGTCAAACATTGAGTTATATATTTACTATATTTGTCGATGCATCGGATGATGCCAAATATGGATTTGTTTCCATCCGGTTTGTGCGCGACCAAAGTTAGAGAGTGTCAAGTGAAACCAAACAAGTTATTTTTGGAAAATGTCTGGACAAAACCTCAAGTTACAAGTCAATCTAAGGACTAGATGTGTTAAAAATTCCACAAGTCAGTCAGTGTGAATCATTTCAGAAATTTTAGTGTAGAGCTTTGGGCAGGATTGGGTGCACGCATATCATAAATCCCTGGGATCAGGGATAAAAAGTACTCAAGGAAGCGTAAGTCGAGAGCAGAAAAAGGTGTGCAGCATCAGAGTAGCACGCACAAGGGGGATGAGTGATGACATTGACAGAACTAAAAATGTCCAGTCCTTGGTCCGCTTCTTCTTTTCTTTTTGATCTTTCTCGGCTTGCCTCAGAAAGTGCAGCAGAATTTATCGGCAGTCGGCTGGACCTAGCGCGCTTTCCAAGCATTTGCATGTATCGGCATACGCTGGTGAGTTTCGCATGTACCGCCCGCAAGGACGCAACAAATATAGCCAAACTTGAAAGGCAAAGCCTGAAGAACTGACGGTTCTCTCCTATATACAGTGCTACAGTTGGACTTGGCACTCGCTTGATTGATTGTGCTCTTACTGCAAAGAGGCAACGAACGATGGCCCAGCTTGAAGGGAAGGCCGCGGCGCTCCTATTACTATTTGGACTTTGCTTCAATGAACCGCTCTGGGCACTGCTAAGACCAACCGCTGGCAGGCGGCTACTTATGCAAGGGCTACAAACGCCAGTGCCGGAAGTACAAACGCCAGTGAACGTTCGCCAGCAGAGGGCAAACGGTTTCATCGCGCTGCGGTGCACAGAGACTTTGTTGTGCGAGCCACACACTGCGAACGTGAGAGCAGACTGTATGTTGTGCGAGCCACACACTTAGCGAACGTGAGAGCAGACTGTATCTCCAAAGTCAGGGCAAATTGGCCTGCTTGCAAATGGAGACAAGAAAAGATAAACTGAGCCACAGCGGTTGAACTGGGCGAGCATCGCAAGGCACAGCGCTACTCTTGAATTCATTCAAGCCACTCTTGAATCGCATTCAACCTGCTTTCCACCTCGCCGCCGCTCACCCACTCGGCAACCTCAGCCGACACATGGCATGTTTGACAAAGTGAGATATTCCACAAGACTTGACCAAGCTTGAGATTACAAAGCCTGAGCCTCTTTACATGGCCAAATTGAAAACCAAGGAACTGGTTTCCGATGTCGGACATTGTTTTTGAACGTGGTCTCAAACGCCCCATTGAAGACTGCGTCCTGATTTGTTTAGTGATGGTGACTCACAGTTTCTATTAGTGTTTAGTGGTCTAGTATATACTCCTCCAGGAACGACCAGAACAGTTCAGCTGACCGTGGCCAACCTGACGATGGGGTTGGCTTTTAAGGGGGGGTGTCGTGAGGTTGGTCAAAGGCATCCATGGACAAACCCACAGCCAACCTGCTCTCCACGTGAGGTCCACCTTCTGATTGGTGAAGCCGCACTTCCTTGCCGATTGAAGAGATTGGTGAAGGACACGGTTGGGTGGGATAAGGCCATGACTCTCGGAACGTGGTGTGATCCAAAGAAACCTCTTTCATCGTAGTGACGATGTCGGAGCTCCAGTCATACGACCTTTAAGAAGTTTGGGAGCCAAACGTGAAACGCCATGGAAACAATGTTTTCTGTTGTGAGGGCAGGACGGAACAACCTTGGCAAATAAGTGGTCCCGAAGTTCCAGTTGACCAATCATCACATCGCATGTACCCTTGCCATGCAAAGAGTTTTGAATGCTGCGCCAGCTCATGGTATCAATGCCCATGTGACCGTTCACGAAGCCATCATACCTGAAAAGATGATACGATGTTGCAATGAATCCAAGAGGATTTCGCCAAACACCTGGTTTGAACCTCTTATGCGTTTCAACTCTAGTCTAGTCTACCTACTATTGATCGACGGGATGCATTGCCATGAATACCCATTCGATGTTGCGTGGAGTTTTGGCTTTGCTAACCATCAGTTGCAACTTGGTATACTGGTTGAATGGGTTGCTGTCAGCAGCAAATTCGTCTGCTTTCAGCAGAAGCTTGAGAAGCTTCTCCGAGCACAGGACGCGCTTGCTCAGCGTCACAGCTGTATCCACGAACGAGTCCGTGACCTCAAACGCTGGTGGCAGGGCAGTCCAGTAGTTGGCATGGGTTTTGTGTGTTGAAAACCAATGTTATTTGCAGACTATTGGGGATGGAAGAAATGGCCTTCTCAGCATCGGAGCTGGCCAAGTAGTGCTCTGAATACTTCTTGCAAAAATCGGCTGTACCTTTGTGAGATCCCTCTGGTTTGGGTTTGATTCTGAATGCACTTGGTGTGACTGGTAGGGAAATACTGTTGCACTCATGTGCGGTAATGTTGCTTAAGGGCCCATGGATTTTCTCCATCCGATTCTTGCAATTCAAGACGGAAAAGATCCGTTGCAATGCCGTATGAAACATTGTTTCCTTGTCCGTCGCGAAGTCTTGACGCATGTTGGCGTTCAAAAAATAAAGGTCTTCATCCGAAGTCGCCACCACATATTCTACTTCAACCTGGGATGACCCGTCATGGGAGTTGGGAAAGAATATTGTTGCAAAAATAAATAGATATCATTTATCAACAATAATAGATAATATATATATATATTATATCATTAATCATAAATATGATACCAGATTAGTGTCACTCACCATTCAATTGAACCATAAAAGTGGCAAGATTCTGAAAGGACATACTCCTTCCATTTTGCACTCTTCTCATCATCCTTGTTGTCTCTGAACATGGACCTGACTTCGATTCCGAGATATTGGTTCCAACATGACTTGATTCTTTTCTTTGAATCTTTGTTGAGAAACTTTGGAACCATTTCTGTATATTTGTGTGAATGTCAAGGAGCAGTAGAAATGCCAGAGTGTTTTCAGCGGGAGAAACAGGTTTCGCTTTGCTTGGGTCACACCCACACGCAACCCAGTCCGGGTGGACAGCCAGCTTCAGCTTCTGGTGGAACCTCGAAGGCATCGCGTAGTACCTTTCCCCGAGGTCGTTCACCGACTTCTGCCTCACTGGCACCTTGTTGGAAAAGCGAAGAGCTCAGGGGGAGGCGGACTATGACAATCCAAATTGAGGTGAGTCTGTAAAACAATCCAACTCTCTGAGAGGATGACACTAGGATCAGCGTTGAACAACACGTCGCATCGAAAGAAGTTTTGGGCACAAGTGTAGGAAGCACTTGGATTTGCAGCACCACCAGGAAACAGAGCTGATGTCATGGCTTTGGCATCGAAAGGAGCCTAGGATAACCAATAATACTGGTCATAAAAACTGTTATTAATTAGATTGACCCAATTCAATCAGGCTGTTGATGCCATTGCTAATCACACACCATAATTGAGATTGCAGTGTGCAACGTGCAAGAAACTAGTGTGGCCCC